TATATGAGCCCCGGGCACATGCCCTTGGGACTTAGGTGTCGGATCCCAGCACGCACAGCGTTTTGCATTGTGTTCCCCTAGCGTAAGATATTACGCAGTACGAGAGAACCTCTCGTAAGAGAACGTACTCGGTTACTAACGTAACCTCGGTTCTCTCTAGAGAGGGAACGAGTACTGCGTATCTTGCCGTGCATGCAGTACGTTGGTTCGCTTCAGCGATGAAAACCAGAGTATATCAGCCCATCGAGCCGTATTTATAAGGCTAGGGCACGCCCGCTTCGGCGGGAGCGTGACGCAATGGGCGCGAAGCGCCCTCATTGGACTGTCACTGAATGGCCTCTCTCGATAGGCTGCTGCAATTGCCATAGGCCGGCCAATAGGCACGTTAAGCCGCCTTGCCTATGTCTGCTTGCTGTTGCAATGCGTTTTGCATTAATACAAAATTAAGGATAATTTTTTGGCTTCAATATCTCGAGGAAAAGAGCTTTTCCTCAGCGTAAGATATTACGCAGTACGAGAGAACCTCTCTAGAGAGAACCGAGGTTACGTTAGTAACCGAGTACGTTATCAAGCTTTTCACTTTAGAATACTGATCCAAATTATTAGTAGCTAATGGGTTACCATTACCTTATGTAACCAGATTAAGTAGGCTATTTATACCTACTCCCTTCCTACAGAGGGAGTTTGTTGCAGGCTAACCTCCTTTGCGTAGTTTTTCACACAAGTGCTATAGGGCGTGGTTGGAACTAGGAAGTGGATAAAAGCAGCGCACAGGGTGGATGAATTGTTTTTGTTTGGTTGGCTCAGTAAGTGTGCGTCAAGCTTGACATTTAAAAGTTGGACGAGAGTAATTAATTTATCCCGGGGGAGCAGCGCCTTGTTCTCAGTGTGAGCTGGAACAACGAGAGCTTTTAATTCATACTGGCGACGTATTGCTGTTCGTCGTTGTAAACAGGAACGTCTCTTTGGTTGCAAACGGGAAACATAGTAGCCGAGCGGGGATCCTTAGTGCGAGGTACATTGAGAAACGGAGTGCTTCCGGGTGTAATTGCTGCTTTTCCCCATTGTAATTTTAAGAATTATACTGTACCTCCAAGGTTTATTGTAGATTTTGTTTATTTGTTTTGTTTGTTCTTTTCTTTCTTTTTGTGAAGGGATGGTTGTTGTTGTTCTTTTGTTTGGCAAACAGTATTCTAACATTGTGCAGCACTTGCCCAGAGCTAGCCTCTAGTGTAGATTTAGTGTGGTTTCATATGTACTAATCAGTTCCGAGCTTGCTGTGTACAGAGTTTTTCCTATTTGTGGTGCTGTGCTAACGAAGATTGAGGTGCCTGTTGCACTGTGTTTTTGTGTACTAGTGAGGCCTTGCTGTTGGCCGTTTGTGTGCCGCTGGATAGTATTATTTGCCAACATTCAACATTTTAACCATGCCATTGGTGATAATAAATTGAGAATAAATTTTTTGGTATATCAGTCTTTCTTCCTTTCTTTGATGCCTTTAAGATACCTGTTGAAGGGTAACAAGTAATGTTACTAAAGACCAGTACCATAATGTTACACTTATATTATACATTATGCATTATTAATATTAATTATGAACCTGTATATAGTTCTTAGTAGTCTTCAGTGAGGTATGAAAAATAGTAGTTACTGTTTAGCTAATAGTTAGTCTCGCATAGCCAGACCTTCAGACTTGACGGCAGAAGGTCTGGACTCTATCGCAGCATTTCTTGGCCAAGGACCGCCCAAGAGGACGTTTCACTGACATGTAATGCAACCAATCACAGTTCGTTTTGTTCCACGTCATGTTTAGGGGCGTGCCAATATAATTTCGATGTCCCTACAATAACAGACTGGCGTGCATCTAATAAATTATTCATTCAAGAACCTTGTGCAAGTTTATGCAACTTGATGCAAGTTTCATCAATGGAGCCGCGAACTTCACATACTTTTGAAAATCCAGCGTTTAGTTGATCCTGGTAAGCGCTCATTGTCACAGTTGTAAACACAATGGGTTTCTTCTTCCACGAGGGGTTTTGGCGTCACGGCATTTGTTTCCAGGCGGACTGATAAAGAACGCGACACGCACGTCTCCCGGACGCGATATTTTTTTTCACAGGATGGTAGGGGAAGACTCATAAATATTCATTAGGGAACTCATCCCTGATTGGGGCGGGGTTAGGGGTAGGTCATCAGACCCCCAGTGACGGGTAGGTTTAGGGGCGGGGTTAGGGGTGTAAGACTGGGAAACTGGTTGAAGCTGGAAATTAACATTTGGCCTTGTAAGAACTGGTTGGAGACACTGTCTTGACCACATGGTCTATTGAAACAAAGGAACTTGCTGAAATAGCATTCGACCTCCCCCTCACGCAGTCTCACCTGATTTACAGTTCACCCAGTAACAGCTAAAACTCACATAAGAATATATATATAGGCTATGGTTTAATGTGAATGATTATCATTGAGTATTGTGTTTAGTATCATTTAAACTGTCGCAGGGTAAGTGATACATATGTCTCATTTCCAAATAAGTAAAACAAAAGGAAATAAGGTTTTTAAGAGTTTAGGGATATCTGGCACACAAATGAATGTGGTCTCCTACTCCCAGAAGGTGTGAACTCAATGCTAATTTCCACTGTTAGCAAATGGTACCATGCAAATCAACTTCGGCCCCCAGTAAGTCTGGGGGGGTTGAACACAGTACATTTCCACTGTGAATTAGGAGTGTAAATATTAATCGATTCGTATCGATGCATCGATTATACAGCCGACGATTCGATGCATCGATGTGTCCGCAAGAGTATCGATTAATGTGTTTGTTTTGCCGGCTGTCTATTTTCAGCATCCGCTCATATGCGTACAAACGATTGTTGTTATGCACTGGGCTAACGTTAGTTAGTCACCGAACTAAACTGCCGCACCCTCAGTCACTTAGTTGGCGAATTCCAAGCAAGCAGTTACTAACGTAAACAAACAGGCGCTAACGTGTACAAAAGGCTACTTCAACGGCTTACTTGAAAAGTCTAGGGTGCTTTCACACCAACTCGGAACGGAACGGGAACGGTTCGCATGAAAAATCGCTAATTATGTAAACGCTGTCTGTCATGCGGACCCGGGTGCGCACTGGGGTACCAAACCCGAGACTGCCTGGAGGAGGTGTGCTGAGTTCGGTTGCACTCGAACCGTGCCGCGGCTCGCGTGAATGTGAAAGCATCACGGACTCGGGTGCGCACTAGTTCAGGAAGTAAGTGACCTGCGCATGCTTTTTAGCTGATTATGATGTATTTAGTTAAATAAAACACATGTAAGGGATGATAGTGTTGATAATTTACCTTGGACAAGAGCGAGAGTGAGTCTGTATTCGCACACACATAGCACGTGGACTCAGGGCAACAAATTAATGGAAATCCACTGTCTCCTGCGTTTGCAATCAGCAAAAAGCCAAATGCGACACACAGTAAACCGGTGTTGTTCACTCAGCTGTGCATATTAGCACAAAATAAAATAAAAAAACACAATATATTGACCCGCGTTCTGTTTTCTATCATGCGTCGTGCACGTTTGCGATGACGTAAGATGCACGGAAACACACCAGGATTCGATAGAATCAAGTTTAGAACTGTATGCAGTAACTGTTATATTTGATGTTCTATTTGCAGTGCATTGAGCACAACATACACATTATGTGAATAGAATACTGTTCCTGTATTCTCAATAAAAGGCAAATTATAAAAAAATTTGTTGATTTATTTGAAACTTAATAGATATCATGTAAAAATATCGATTATTGAATCGAATCGAATCGTATCGTGGGGAATTCTGAAGTATCGAAAATAATCGAATCGTTGGCTTAAGAAATCGGTATCGAATCGAATCGTCATGTAGGCTCCGATTTACACCCCTACTGTGAATACAGGTTTACATATGAAATGAGGTCTGGCTATTTAATGGAAGGCAGCAAGGGATCGTGGCTTTTTCTGTATTTCAGATAGCCCATGAGGTAGCTCATGTAGTTCATGTTGGGTTTGCATCTATTTCTCTATTCCTAAAACATTTGATGATTTGCATTGATTATCTTTCAATTGATTATGGAATTGTTATAATACATTTACCTGACATAATAAATTGTTATATTTGATTATTCTAACAGACTTTGACTTTATTTTCATTGGAGTTAAAAGGAATAGTCAAACATTAACGTATATTTAAAGATGCACAGATATCATTGAAAAACACTTTCATTTTATGGAGTCAGATGAAACGAGTTAATACATAAGATAATGTATTGCATTTAATTAAAATCCCTTTGCCATTGGAAGAGACGGAACGCGCATGTGACCTTCACCGCTAATTTGAATGCCGCCCTTGGATCGAATTAGTCGGACTTACAGGGGGTAGGTCTTCAGACCAATCAGGGATGAGTTCGCTAATGAATATTCATGAGTCTTCCCCTACCATCCTGTGAAAAAAAATATCGCCTCCCGTACATCCTATAGAATTCAAACAATCAGATTGCGACTTCGAAACTCCTGAAGTGTTTCCAGAAAAGTGTGCCATATGCATCAGACATTCAGCCAACGGTCCGTGGGCGTGACGTCACGTCTGAGGCTGAGACTAGCTAATAGTTAACTACCACATTCGACTGAGTGCTATTATTTACTAATTCGTTATTCAGAGTTTCTTGTTAGTTAATAGTAGTTACTGGAATGTTAATAGTGCATTACTTATCGGTTCCTGTGTAGTTATTCATTCAAGAAGGAACAGTATTCTAAAGTGTTACCCAATATTTGAGGATATAGCACCAAAAGATCATTACCGTAAATTACCCTGAGCGCTTGTGGTTTGAACCGCTCTGTTGTTTTGACGTGCTGCTCACTTTAAACTGTAGAAATTGTAAAATGGCGCAATTATGTCCCGCAATACGGACGGAACCAAATATCCGCCATTTGAATACCACTGGCCTAGGTTTAGTGTGACAAATCAGTTCACACTGAACTCACCCTTCCTAAAGAAAATGACTCCTGCCCTGCAGCCCCTCAGGGTCTTATGGGTCGTGGTGGTAACAACATCACTGTATTCAAACGGAGATGGAACGACTCCTGCTGCCACTAGACCACTGATGTGAGCCATGTCTGCCAGAAGATACGCTCCATTCTCATCTGCGATCTTCCTCAGTCGACTGTAGTCCAGGTTACGGGAATAGCAGCTGGTTCCTTAACAATGATACAAAGAAATGTTAAAGGTGATGTTTGTCATTTCTTTCAATTTTAAAATACATTGTCCCAACCAGCAACACTGGCTCAACCAATGATGTGAATTTGGGTAGAGCAAATTGTTTATCTGACTAATAGCAGAAAAAGAGGGAATGTTCATAAATGTTTCTTTTTTTTTTTTTTTTTGCATTTACTTTTGCATAATGTATTGTTTTTTTCACATTATTTAGTTGAACAAAGAGATGTATAAAAAATAACAAGGAATTACACCAAAAAAAGTAATTAGGAAAATAATATATCTAAAAAATATCCCAACTCTCAAAAATCTTCAAAGAAAAATCAAAGAAAAAATGAGTTCCCTTTCGATAAGGTTCACTTGCATTGCGTGAGAGATTTTATGCACTGTGAGCATTTTCATGGCGCACGGCGCGTAAAAAAAGCAAACTCTCATGTCGGCCCAGCGCCCGCGTACCTCGCTCTCCCCACAGCGTGCTGATTCGCCAGTGCTCTTTCACTCTTAAGTCCCGCCGAGGCCAGACCGCCACCATAGAGACCACACATTCACCTCCCAACCCCCTGTTCAGTTCTGGGCACTGGAGACACTGTTTTTGTTGCCAGTACTGGACCCCCATCACCTGTTATAAGGTGTTTTTCCACTGTTAAAACAAATCAACAAAAAAAAGCGCCTTCACAAAAAAGAGCATTTATCCACAATGCGGCAGGCTGCCATCTGCGGCTCTTCAACCCCTCGCCGCCCAAAGTGGATTGGTTTTTATCAGTGGATCTAAAGGACGCATACTTTCATATCCAGATAGCTCCCCATCACAGACCGTTCTTGACATTCGTGTACGAGGGGGTGGCATATCAATAAACAGTTCTACCGTTCGGACTGTCCTTGACTCCACGCACCTTTATGAAATGCGGGGATGCGTGGCCTTTGGCTTTTGGACAGAGCCAATGTCGAACTGGCACATCAACTGCCTGGAGAGGATGCCAGTGCTCCTGGCCTTCAAGGAATTTCAGCATGAGCTCAGGGGGCACCATGTCCTGGTCCGGACAACATGACAGTGGTGGCCTACATAAATCGCCAGGGTGGTCTCAGGGACCGTCTTTTGAACAGACTGGCTCGCCGCCTCCTGTGGACACAGGACAATCTCCGCTCAGTACGAGTTTTGCATGTGCCGGGCTCCATGAACACGGGAGCCGATTTACTTTCCCGGACCGCCCCCAGGAGAATGGACACTCCACCCCCTACGGTCCGCATGTTTGGAGCATTTTCGGTCAGGTGTCAGTGGATCTCTTCGGGTTGGAAGAGAATACCATCTGCCCAATATTCTTTTCGAAGAAAAAGGACGCATTGGCCCACAGGTGGCCCCCTTTGCACCTTTATGCCTTCCCTCCGGTAGCACTGCTCCCTCAGGTCATCGCCAAATCAGGGAGGACAGATGATCGGTCTTTCTCATGGTACCAGTCTGGCAGAACCAGCCATGGTTCCTGGGAATGGTCCAGCTGTTGTCTGCAGCACCATGGCCGATCCCTTTGAGAAGGGACATACTTTCCCAAGCGAAAGGACCAGTCTTCCATCCTCAACCCGAGTTGTGGAGCTTCCACCTATGGCCCACGACGGTAGCCTCCAGGCCCCAGAAGGTCATGAATACGATATCTGAGGCTAGGGCACCTTCTATCAGTTGCCTCTATAGACAAAATTGGGCCTTATTTTCCAGCTGGTGCTCAGCCCAACTTATAGACCCCATATCCTGTGAGATCGAGTCCATCCTCTCTTTTCTTCAGGAGCTGTTGGAACCATTTATATATACTGGCATCGGTCAAGCAGGTTGGTGACTTGCAGGCTCTCTCAGTGGACCTCAGTGGTTTGGGTTTAACGACAGCAGAGTAGTCCTTAAACCCAGATGAGTCTATGTACCTAAAATGCTTTCTACGCCCTTTAGAGAACAGATTAGATCGCTCTCTGCTCTCACCTCTGCTTAGGGTGAACAGACACCACACCCAATCTGTTTTACTTTAAACTGCATAACAGTTTTACCGTTTTTGAATCCATTCAGCCGATCTCTGGTTCTGGCTGTACCACTTTTAGCATAGCTTAGCATACATCATTGAAGTGGACAAGACCATCAGCATTTCTCAAAAAAAAAAATGACCGAAGAGTTTCGATATTTTTCCTATTTAAAACTTGACTCTTCTGTAGTTACATCGTGCACTAAGACTGACGGAAAATGTAAAGTTGCGATTTTCTAGGCTGATATGGCTAGGAACTATTCTCTCATTCCTGCGTAATAATCAAGAAACTTTACTGCCGTACCATGAGTGCAGCAGGCGTAATGATATGACGCTGCGCCTGAAAATAGTCCCCAGCTCGGTAACTTCCAGTGTATTCCGGTTCAAATAGATACGGTTCGGGATCTGAACCAAAGTATATGTCCTCTGAATCATCTCTCACAAATGTCTCCATGCTACAAGGAACGCTCCCTGTGCAAGCAGGTTGTCACGTTGGTTATGTTGACGGAAGGTAGCCTATTTTCAGGCGCTGCGTCATATCATTGCGCTTGCTGCACTCATGGTACGGCAGTAAAGTTTCTTGATTATTACACAGGAATGAGAGTATAGTTCCTAGCCATATCAGCCTAGAAAATCGCAACTTTACATTTTCCGTCGGTCTTAGTGCACGATGTAACTACAGAAAAGTCAAGTTTTAAATAGGAAAAATATCGAAACTCTTTGGTCATTTTTTTTTTTGAGAAATGCTAATGGTCTTGTACACTTTAATGATGTATGCTAAGCTAAGCTAAAAGTGGTACAGCCAGAACCGGAGATCGGCTGAATGGATTCAAAAACGGTAAAACTCGACAGTTTAACTCTGGGGGAGTTGTAAAATGAGCCTATTTCCAAAAAAAGTGGAGTATCCCTTTAAGCTTTAAGATATAGGGCCCTATTTTAACGATCTGAAACGCAAGTGTCAAAGCGCAAAGCGCAAGTAACTTTGTGGGCGGATCCCGGCGCTGTTGCTATTTTCCCGGCGGGATAAATGCCTCTTGCGCCTGGCGCAAATCTAAAAGGGGTTGGTCTGAAGTAGCTTCATTATTCATAGGTGTGGTTTGGGCGTAACGTGAAATAAACCAATCAGAGCGTCATCTCACATTCCCTTTAAGAGCAGGCGCGCTTGTTCTAAAGCGGATTCCTATTATAACGGCGGATTTGCCAGGCGCGCGCCAGGAGCGGTTCACAGCCGAGGAGAGCAACGTTCTCGTTAGGGCCGTAAAACACAGAGAAGTGACATTGGGGATGGAGAAACCCACCCAAATTAACTTCTGTTAAACAGGCGTATGATAATTTGGGTAAATGTGTAAGCTACATGTATGCTTTTATAATAAATTGTCTATCTATCTATCTATCTATCTATCTATCTATCTATCTATCTATCTATCTATCGTAATAATGTATGATTTGCAAAAATGAAAACTGCTGCTTAGATGAGAGAATCAAAGTGTATGCGCGTTGTGCACACGCTACATTGATTATGGCCAAGTGTAACCCCTCCACCCGGGTCCTTCTCACCCCGCTCTGAGCGGGTCTCGAACCCGGGTCTCCGGCGTGAGAGTCAGGCGCTCTAACAAGGAGGCTAAAGACTGCAGCCTCTAGCATCTGTCGCTAGAGCGCCTATTGAGATCAGAGGAGTGAGGTTTACTCGCACAGCAACTACTAGCTGGCCTCCGTTACACTCACCCCCCTAAACCTCACTCCCATCCGGGTCACGGCACCAATGTAACCCCTCCACCCGGGTCCTACTCGCCCCGCTCTGTGCGGGCCTCGAACCCGGGTCTCCGGCGTGAGAGTCAGGCGCTCTAACAAGGAGGCTAAAGACTGCAGCCTCTAGCATCTGTCGCTAGAGCGCCTATTGAGATCAGAGGAGTGAGGTTTACTCGCACAGCAACTACTAGCTGGCCTCCGTTACACTCACCCCCCTAAACCTCACTCCCATCCGGGTCACGGCACCAATGTAACCCCTCCACCCGGGTCCTTCTCACCCCGCTCTGAGCGGGTCTCGAACCCGGGTCTCCGGCGTGAGAGTCAGGCGCTCTAACAAGGAGGCTAAAGACTGCAGCCTCTAGCATCTGTCGCTAGAGCGCCTATTGAGATCAGAGGAGTGAGGTTTACTCGCACAGCAACTACTAGCTGGCCTCCGTTACACAAGCATGCGCCCTTAAAATAGCATAATGAACAACGCGCAACGCGCCACTGACTTTAGACTAGTTTTTTTCTGGTCAGTGGCGCATTTGTTTTATAGAACAGCAAAATAGCATGAGGGAAAGTTTGCGCCGGACCACGCCTCCTCTTTGCGCTGAACCGCCCCGGGGAGCGCAAGTGTATTTCTTAGTTAACCGACGTGTGTCTGTGGAGGGAAAAGCCCGCTTTGCGCGGGTGCAAAATAGGAATGATACATGCGTCAGTGTACAAAGTCATTTGCGCCGAGTGCAAGATAGGGCCCATAAACCTTCTTGGTTTTGGATTCAGCACGGGTCTTAATTTTGTCCATTGTGTTCATTATTCAAAATTACAGAGTCCATTTAGCTAAGAGAAAATACACCTCTTGGTTTTTAGCTTGATTGAAAAATTGTCTTCTTATTGTGAAATAGGCTATCTGAAATTCCGATTCTCAAATATGTGTTTGTGATTGTATTTTGTCTTTTAAACACTTTTATAATGATCAAGTTAGTTGATAACGGGTGACCGGCACTGCCATGTTTGTTCTTCAAGTGCAGAGAATCAAAGTTGTTGGATTTACAACGCGCAAATTCATCCACTTCTCCTGAAAGACATGAAAGTGAGTGGCCGGTTAACTGGGAGAAGAATAAAAAGTAAAACTAAAAGTAAACTATTTAGTTTAGGCTACCTACGCAACGTATTTCTGACGTGAATAAAGCATGGTTTCAAATTAGAAGAGTTCTTCCATAGACATCAGTGTGTATTTTACAATCTAAATA